CTGGGTGAGCTCCAGCAGGTTCCCAATATATCCCGGCACTAAACGTGGACACACATATCTGTACAACCTTGTCTCAGCCTTGGTTAGTAGTGGCCTGCTGTTGAGCGGGTCTGGAGGTGGCCAGGATTAACTGACAAGTGCATTATTATTAGCCAGTTTGATACATATTGCAATGTCACACACACTAGGCTACAGTAGGTCTACATCATATCATACATACACACAACACCCTCTGGTACCCAGGTATAAATAAGTTTTATATGATAAATTTTAAAAACTACTTTCATATCCCTAACTAATATAATATTGTGCTAAATTGTTAACACTATAGTCGATAATAATAATTGTTGGTTCATTAATTTTGTATAGGGCAAGGCCTACGCAAAATTGCTGTAATACAACAAACATCCTAGCCTATGTAGGCCTATGTGTGTATGCTGACTTCGCGCTCATCCAGGTCCCGCTGCCTGACGCTTGGCTTGGCCAGTCACCCAAGGGCCAAGAGCAATACATTACAACAAGAGTCAGGTGTCTGTGAACATTAATTTAGGCCTAAATCAATTAATCAAAAGTATCGACATACTGGAATAATATCTGTAATTGAGTGGGTCTATGAATTTGTCAAAATATCTGCAGTTGTAGTAGCAAATGCACTGAACAACATACCTAAATAACTTTGAAGTTGAATGTTTATGCCCACACCGTGTGTGTTCAACATACGTAAACACATGGATGGACTTACCTTTTCAGTCCTTCAGGCTAGATAGGCAGTCAAAAATTTATCATCACAAATTGTTTTCACTTCAAAAACCAACAAAAAGAAACACCTAACTGATTTGTGACATCAGAAAAAACACTGATTATGGTACAAAAAGTAGACAAAATAAAGTCAAGAAGCTATTTACCCTTCCATTCCTTGAAATAGTGAAGAATTTCTACAGAATAAACAGGATAGGTTGAGAAAATCTGCAGGTAGCCGTAGAAAGCAAAATGGCGAAAGTTAGTAAGTGCGCCCTCAACAATAATTCATTGACCAGCCATCTTTTTCGCGCGTAAAGCTTATTATTACCTCCTTATTACAATGTTTTAGCGTTCTGTGAGTGATCACCTACTTGTGATATGAATGGCATATTCTCTACAGTAGCAATTAATAAGGCAGATTATTTTACTGAAATGGTACAGTTCATTAATATGAGATAGAGGTTTCTACCCTGGGGCGATGNNNTCCGGGGGGGGGGGGGGGGGGGGGGGGGGGGGGGGGGGGAAGCAGACGGTGCGATCGTCCCTAAATGCAGGACTTGGGGGTGCGTTTTTCCACACCACCTGAGCCCCACCTGGTTGCGGCTGAGGCGGTTTTGAGAATATGGGCCTCTAGGTGCCAGGAATTTTCACTTACGCCTACTTCAAAATTCGGTACTATTTTCATAATGATAAAAATAATATATAAACAATACAATAGAACAATAATTGTTGTATAAGCTAAATAATTAATTATCATTTTTCTTAATACAATTTGGGGGGAGGGGGTGCGATCATTCGCACCGTCTGCATCCGCCCCAGTTACCGGTAAGAATTTTAAGGTATGAGAGTGCAATTTCCAGGCACCTGAGGTCATTCTCAAAAATGTTCTTGCATGTGCCTTCCATTGGGGCTGAGGCGGTGTGGACGCTCACGCACCCCCTACCGCCAAATTCTGCATCCGTCCCAGCTACTCAAGATCAACGAGTAGGCCTACTTTCTAAATTCACACTTTATAGGCCTATTCGTGTTTTAAATACCTTAATATTTCAAATGTATTTCTTTTGGCAATGTATCCAAAAATAATTTAAATTTTATACCTTTGTACTATTTTATGGAAATGCCAATAAATGCATCTTAAATTCTAATTACCTATCTCTACCAGAAAAAAAAGGCGTCATAGAAATACTTTTTAAATTAATAAGAAAAATAATAATGTAATAATTATTTTTATTCTGTTAAACATTTTTTTTTTGACAATCAAAACACAAGTGGGGCACTAATAATGTCAGTGTAACCAACCGATAGGTGAGAATCCGAAGTTCGGGCCCTGGCCTCAGCCGGAGGGTGACGCCTGGGAGGCGGGAGGAAGGTCCCCATCTGGGAGCCCCCACCTTGTCAGGGAGAAAAAAATAGGCTTACAAATCGCCGGAGAGAAATAAATGAGAGAAAGCACAATTCTTTTATGAAGGCACAGGTCAGCAGTCTGTTTGTAGGATGGATTTAGATTTTATATTACTTTTTATGTGAGACACAACCGGATAGAGATAATTAGGGCCCGACATATATTTACACAAAGAGAAAATCAGGTTTAAATAATCAGGTTTTCTGCAGTGGTTTGATGATGATGTTTTTTGATGATGATGGTTTTTTGGAGAATTAAATATAGGCCTAATATAAATAAACGTATTCGTATGCTGCTGTTGGACGTCATGGGAGGTATAGACAAGTAGGCCTAATATTGATTTACCATCGCTGTATGCTCTTACTATAAATATGCCTACAAGAACGCAATATAATGCCCCTCACCAGAAGTGTCTTAGTTAAAGACTTCGAGTGGCATGCGTTTCGTTGACAATAAATCTGGAAGTACCTCAAGTTGATACACTGAGGATCTTGTCACAATGCCAACTCTTATCATCCCCACCTGTCTACAAAAATTCCACAGGGGTCGGACCTTCGAATTAGGGCCTACATATTGCATTTATTAATTAATAAAATTTTCTTTAAATTTCTCTGTTAAAGCCTAGTTAAATACATCAATACATCGGTCCGCATGTGGAGTAAAAAAATCATGAATTTTAATAATAATTTTTATGAAATTTCTTCAAAATGAAAGAGATGGAGAACTAGAGCAGTCACACCATAAAGTGCAAACCTCCGCCGTGACTGAATACCAACAATACGCAGGCCTAGGCTGTGTGTTCTGGGCCATTACATTATTTTCCGCCCTGTCTGAACATCGAAAGAATCATGGCAGGCCGTGTATGATGGGCGTATTCAGGCACATTTTGTTTTCTTGACTGCTGCAGCATACCCTCAAGGAAATAATGGAATGGCTCGTCACGACGTGCCTGAATACGAGAGGCGATTCCATTATTTTCTTTTATGGTCGTGGATGGAAAATCGAATCCTTGGCCTTGACGTTATCCTATATTAACATTTCTTTACTTTCTTCGATTATATGTAGGCCTATCATGTGTGTTCTGGGCCATCATTCCAATAAATTTGATGATGATCCATTCAGTTTTTGCGTAATCTTGCTAACAGACAGACAGTCAGCGGTGAATACCCCTCCCCCTTGGCAGGAGTAATAAATTCAGTCCTCACTGATTCACAAACTCTTACTAAAATCCTTATTTAAAACAGGGGCGGATCCAGCTGGGGGCCCGTTTCCCCTACCCTCCGTCAGCCCGCCGAAAAATAAAAAAAAAAGGAGGAAAAAAATGAGAAGTGGTAAAGGGAGGAAAAAGGAGAAGAAAGTGAAGTGTGCCCTTGAGTTCAGTGGCGGACCCGTCAGTGGGCGAAAGGAGAGCTCGATTATTTTACCGCTCACTAATTTTGAATTGCTATTGATATGACGACGAACACAACGTTATACGCAATGGAGGAATGATTACGCTTTATCCCCTACACCGATTTTTTTCCACGATTTCATAAACCAGGATATATAAAGGCCAAAAGACAAAGACAGGGTTTTATAACCATTATTACTGAACGTAGTACCCAGGTAGAACAGCTGGGTCTCGTGCGACGGTCCGCGGGGCCACCGACCCTCAGTGGCCCCTGTGGTGCCCCTACCATAGGATCCCGCTCTATAGCACCCTGATCTAAAAGGGCTTTGTTGAAAGGCCTACATAACAGCATAATTTGTCTCTCACATCAACTGTAGGACATATATCATAATAATCCATTGGGGATGGGGGAAGGGGGCCCAGCCGGCCAGGACCTCCTATAAATTTTGTCAAAATTTTGAAAAAAAAAAAAAAAATTGGAGATAAAATATTCAAATTTTAAGTCTGAATGAGTGCCATTTCCGGGCATCTAGAGGTGCAATAACCATAATTTTCTTTGTGACTCCCAGTATAGAATAGACTATAGGTCCTTTATTAAACTTTTGCGAACCCTGTGAGGGAAGGAGTGTCTAAGGGAGGGGGAGCATAGGCCTAGCTCTCGTTGGGAAGAAGTCAATACAGTAATTTTGTCGAGGAGGAAAACTACTTTAATACGATTTACTTGCCATTGTTTATTTTGAAGTGAAACAGAAGTCAATAAATATTTTTGTAGGCCATTAGCATAACCAAGCTAAAAAAACTGCTCTTTTGGAGGAGGGACTCCCGAGCCGATGTGCCAATTAGGGTACTGTCTGTATGTTCAGGCAGAATCATTGTGATCTTACAGGTCATTTTGAACTAAAAGGCCTTCCGATTTCCACTCGGCTACCAATTCAGCTGTGAGCCCAAATGTTTAGGGCACGTTTTTTTTTTTTTTTTTCGTAAGTTTGCGTAATACACAAAAATAATAGTACTAATCTTATAAAGGCAAATATGGATAAACAACTTCAATGGTGATAATTAGAGAAGGAAGCTTCCAGACTTGAATATATGTATTTAAAAATAATAATCAGCGTGTGGTAGGCCTACCCATATGCGATATTTTAAACTGTGTCATAAGTATACGCACAGCCAGGATAATAAATGAAAACTGGCTTCCACAAAATAGTTATTGTTTTCATTTCTTCCCTTGTAAACACCACATAGCGCAATTGGTCGACATTAATTTTGTTTTCATTATCTATTACAATCATGCAATGACGACGATATCGATTTCTATCAAAATAAATGTAATTAACGGTAAATATGAATGGTTTATGTTGGAAATTTAATCCAGGTCTTCCCCTAAAAATAGAGATTACCACGCCCACACATCCACGACCAGACTGTTTTCCTAACAATTGAGTGCGCACTCCATCATAATAGGAACTCCAATCATCACTACACACTGATCTGACTCCATGTGTGAGATTTGCTTGGAATGTGATCGACGTTATGAATCATTATGAATTTTATTCGTGCAATTTTCAGATCATCAAAGGAAGTAAAGAAGCTAGTCGGCACTGACTATCTAGGCAATAAATATTACGAAATTCCGGAGGATGCTAAAGTGTTGGGTAGGCAGGCCTATCAACATCCACTTGTGACTTACCCCTTCTTCAAATCTTAGGCCCTGACCTAGCCTAGGCCTACTCTACTACTACACTAGGTTAGTAGGACCGTGTGCGAGATGTGTAGGACTAGGCATAGGCCTTGCACCTTCTTGGGCTGGGCTATGCTAGGCTTAGCCAACAACCTAGCTAGGCCAAGGTGTAAGCTAGTCCGATTTCCGTCCTAACTAGTACCAGACGAGGCTCAGTCGTGTTGCCAGGACTTGACAAGGGGGGTGGTGGGGTGCACCACCAGCAGGGGGAATTTGCCACCCCGTCGGACAGGCCTAGACCCCCTGTCGTCGGACGCCACAACGAGGATGTTGGATCAAAAATTTGAAAAATGATAATTTCCCTATCCAAATGCTATTTTGATTGCCAATCCCAAATATAAAATAATATTGTAAAATATTAAAATATGTCTGAAATCACAATTTTTACCATAAAAAACCCCTAAATACATACATAAGATTTTTAATTTCGGGACCCCTACCAATGCTCTAGTCAGACCCTTGGTTCAGCCCCCTCCGTCGGACCCATTGTCAACAAATTGCTGGAGCCACCGCTGTGGCCTGTGTGATGTGGGGGTCTGACAATTTTTTTGGAACTCCACTGTCAGGAATTTTAAGAATGTAGGCCTAAACCAATAATAATAATAATAATAATAATAATAATACTGTATGTAACTACTGTATTAATTAGTGTATTTTATATTAATGGACACAAACAAATTGAGAACTTTGAGGTGCTGCGATTTGCCCAACAGGGAGTTGGGTCTGGCATAAGCAGTCCAATGGAGTCTGACAATTTCTGATGTCGGGAAGTGAAGCCCTGGTAGTGTCCAGGCAGGGATAAAGCCCCTGGCTTCTTAAAAAACTGGCCAAATTTAATTCGGGTCTAAAAGAAATTCCCCTTGTTTGTTATCTTTCTTTTTTTAATTTTGATATACAGTTAAACTTGCCTAAGTCGACTGTGCCCAAGTCAAATAATTTCTAAGTCGATTTTATTTTATATGCCAAATTGTTGTGTTTTCCATTAATTAACAATCTGTAAGTCAAATTTTATCTAAGTCGAACAATATTTCAATGGCATTAAATCTTTTTCGAATTACTGTATACTGTATTTTTGGTTTGTAGGTGAAAAGCTAAAACAAAGAAGATTTGTAGAATCAAACATCAGCCATTATGAATATAAACCAGGAATGATACCATATGAATGGGAAGGTAGGTCTACATGTATAGAGGGCTCACTTTAAAAATTTGGTTTATGTATAACTATAAAGTTTTTGCACCAAGATCACATTTGCTGTATCAATAACATTATTGTAATGTAATAAGGGAAATGGAATAGTTAGAAATAATAATCTTCCTACACACAATAAATTTATGTTCTCTCTAGCTTGGATTAGGGGAAATCGCAAAGACCCGCCCACCCCAGAGGAGATCGCAAAGCGAGAAAATCAAACGCTTAAAGTACAACAACTAGCGAAAGCTTTAGAAGAAAAAGAAGCACAGGTGAAAAGAAATAGCTTTTGTTTCATAATGAGCAGCATAACCATAGTAACAAGATTTTCTATTTGCTTTTCAATTTTAACTGTAATTAATGATTAAAGTTGTGAAAATTAAAATACATCATGTGATGTAGATGTATATGTTGTACATTTTAATAACAGAGTACTCTATATATTTTGTGGTTGTTTATGTATTTTAATAACACTGATAATAATATCAGAATATTTTCTGGTAGACTTAATGTAATCATGTTTCAATATATAATATGCAATTTTCTACAGCACTATTGAATGGCGGTCAATCCTGCAATCATAAGGGACCTTTGATGCCCTATAACCAAGTGTTTGATGACTGGAATGCAACCACTTGTCATGTCACATCCATAACAAAGATTTACCTATTTTTTCAAGGTTGATGATGTGTCAGCTTGTATTGATGGTCAACAAAAACCTTTTGAGGATGTTACCAAACATGTAGAGGGTCATGCCAAATCTGAAGGTATGAAGAACTGATTTATCTACAGTATTTTTGTTTACAGTGTATACATTTCTTTTCTATTGGTTTGATACAGTAACTGGTAGTTTTTTGTGATTTATTATATGAAATACTACTGTATTGTAAAAAGGTGTATTATTGAATTTTATTGGGTTTGGCCTTTCATGGCCTTTTCAAGAATAAGAAAATTGAATCAAATTACTTTAATAAACTATATTTAGTATAATAGAAAAAGAGGATGTTTTACTGACAAATCCTGTGATTGTAATTAATGATTGGTTGTCATTTGTATTTGCATATTAGGCCACACATCCACATCAGAAATTGGCAGTAAAAGTGATGCAGCTAGCACAGAAAATGTCTTTAAACCTACTGCTTGGCAACCAGGAAAGAAGGGCAAATAACTGAAAAGCAAGATTACCAACAGCATGTAGAAATTTATAAAATATAAAATTTTAGTACAGTACTGTATATCCTCTATAACTTTAAGTGAAAAATTATTTATTGTCAAAGCAATATTTTTGATACTTGAGGATTGGTACTCTTTACCACCCAAGAGTAAAATGAATCGCTGTTAATAAAATAAAACTCATGACCAAATCTCAAACTATTTGTATAAGTAAAGATTGAGACTGACCCGTGGTGACCAGTAAAAGTTCCCCCCCCCACGATAAATTGGCTGATATGCTCAGGGATTGAACCTCAGATCATGGTATTGTAGGAAAAGTACTACCATCATCACAAATTGATTGGTTACAGTATATTGAGTTATCTTTCATACACTGTATGCTCTCATATCTGTCGTATGTCCGTTATTTACCAAACTTCTTTACCAATGAAAACTTATTTGATGTAATGTATGGTGGAATAAAAAAGTCTCAGAATCTTTCATGCCAAGTTGTGCTGCGTAACTACAAACCAAATATATGCCAACATGAATATTGAATGATTAAAATTTATTATTTACTATACTTTGATTTAATGTTTTATATATTGGAATCCAGTCACCACTGAAAAATGTTATAATTTATTACATAATTAAAATACAGTACTAATACATTGTGGTCTTAAAGATATACTGTCTGTCATAAGCTAAATTAATTGAATTAAATGTTTCTTCAGTAAATTAATTACTGTAAAATTTAATGAGGAAAAATTGTCCTCGCTAAATTAACAATAGATCCACATAATAAATACAGCAACTAGTGCATATATTTATTGCATAGATCCTTCAATTGGCTGGGAATTAATTTAACAATTTTTGTTGTTAGTTTGTAAATCAGTGACCTGTGATCATTGGAATTTCATAACTTATTTATTTATTCAAATGTTGAATTTATGAGGTTCATAAAATTTTTGTGACAGACCGTACATCTGTATTGAGGATAACCCAACACATTGTAACGGAACAAATTTGATCAGAAAAAAAAAAAAAAACAACAGAAAAGGAAAGATGAAAAATATTTTAAGATGTTATTTAACATTTTATTTGGTGTACAGTATTTAAGCTAAAAGTTTTTTGCATAAAATGTTCATTACTGCTTTTCCTCAAAATACTTGTCCTACTGCGATCAAGTGTTTGTTGCTGTGATCTGTTTCTACTTGCTTGATTTCGACAATCCAATATTCTTCAATGTTACTCTACCTTCATTATGACAGATGCTACACAGGGAATATGAATAAAATCACATTGACTAATTGTCTTTCTTTGAGCGCCCTCTCGCTTTTGCCTGGTTTGATTCACGTTTAGCTTTTCGTTTTTTATCCTTCTCTCTCTTCTCAATATCCTTATACAGAATATATGACAAAATCCCACTGATTATAAATAAAGGGCTCAACACAAGCAAAATAGTGTAAAGAAATCCATAGGGATCCTTGAGGATCCATAGAAGAACGTTTTCTCTGAGCCAGTGTTTCAACGTTCCTGGTTCCAACTGGCTACCTTCATCATCCATGGCTCCGAGTCTGTCAGTATCATCTACCATGTCATCTGCCATTTCCTGAAAATTATTTAATTATAAAATACTTTAAGAATTAGTATCAATTCCAGAGGTTTATTCTGGAGAACATAGTTTAACAGACTTAAGATTGGATATGAAAGCGAATTAAAAAAGATATTTTCTAAAAAAGGTAATACCAGGAACACTATCAAACTCTACACCTAGTATACAGTCAGGGGTGGCGCCAGAGGGGGGGGGGCTGGGGGGCACTTTCAAGAATGAGGATTTGAAAATAAATTAAATGGTTACATTGCATACTCTTTGTTTCTTGCTTTATTCAAAATGTTTTGGTTTTGGAAGCTGATGTCAACATTAGAAAGCATAGCCTACATGAAGTCATATTATAGTAACTCGATGCCTATCAAATAAGTAGTAAAAATTCGCCATAATTCATCAAATATCCGTGGCTTCCAGGGGGCGAAACCCCCACCGGGGGGCCCTAGGCAGCCCCCCCAGCCAAGTGAGACTCGATTCGCTCCACTAGGCCCCCTTTAGTCGGGCAGGTCCCGGCACCACCCCTGTATACAGTAGGCATACCCATTTAATTTTCTTTGTATTCGGTAAGAACAAAATTTTTGTCTATGCACAGAGAAGGACTTTGTAATTTGTTTTCTTTATTTTTTTTTATTCATTTGATACAGTAAAAAAATTAATGAAATATGTTAATTAAAGAGGTAATTTTCAGAAATCTTGTCTTTATCACAAGTCCATCCATAGAAAATAAGGGCCACGCCCCTTTTTGATTGGAAGCACTACTTGAACAGTCAGTAGGCTAGACAATCTGAACATCTTGTTTGTAAACAGCAGTTTTTCTTTTATAAATGAAGATATGTGATGACTCGATGAGGGGATAAAATTGCAGAAAGCACCATGGTCACATGTCCTGTTAATATGCAAATCAGTTGAGGGGCGCTAATTCGCAAAATATGGTGACTTTTAACTACTTGACCGTGATTTATTTGGGATGGGGCTAATGCACTTTTGCACACCCCATCTAAAATCAAAAGCTACTATATAAAATATTCATAGACATTTGGGGGGGGGGGAGAGAAGTGCTCCCCCTCCCTACCCTAGATACGCCACAGCATTTATCAAACATTATGGTAATTTGAGATACACCCATTAACACTTTCTTCATGAGGGGAATTAGTATATAATGAAGAAACATCAAGTGAACAGTATTATCAGGTTAATTTGAAATTTAGTTAATTTTATGGATAAAGTCTGTGGAGTCCTGAATGTACGAGAAGAGCAACAACAATGGGTCTTAATAAATCATCCACATACAGTATTCAGAGATCTTTTTCAGTAGCAGCATCGTTGCCCAAAATGATGGGTCTGCCAGGATGGTCAGCTTCCTACAGCTTTGCATATACAGTATATATTTTATACAATGAATAAATAAATCTTGAATTTATGCATCTGTTATTAGTGGAGGAAAATATTTTTCTAATCTATTTTGAATCACAGTAAAGTATACCTGTCTCTTATACACATCTAGGGCCTAGGCCTACCACTCTACTCGGCCGCCCGGGCCTAACTATTCACCAACACATGGTTTTAAACCATTAATTAACAACTAAATAAATACTTATCAGAAGTATATTTATCGCAAACGGACAATTTAAGTTATTCTTACTTTAATCAGCGTTCCAAACGTCTTTTGCCTAGGCTTGGCTAGGCTATAGAGTAGGCCTATCTATCTAATTAATGACTAATGCAATTCTGCCGCGACAACAGCACAAATAATTATACAAAGCAAAAAGCAAAGGGCTAGGGATTAACTATTAATCTAATGAATAATTCATGAGGTTTTGCTCAACTTGTACCTACCATAAACCAGCAAAGAAACACGGATAAACAAAATCGCTACCTATTCCATTCCGTAGATGGGTGTGTCTATAAAACAAAGACCCTTAAATATTTCTTGATATTCCTAATTTTTTCCAATAAAATAATGGAATAGGTGCTTGGTGACTGTTTTATGATGACTTTGAAATACTTTCAATAAGATAATTGATAAATGAAGGTCTTCGTTTTCCGTGTCTTCGGTCTTCGTTTTGTACGTAGACACCCATATAGGGTGAAGACCCTTGACAATTTCACAAACAGACGCAAAAAAAAAAAAAAAAATCGTAATTTTGAGTTTGTGACAGCCTGGTGTATTATCATCAAAATAAGGAGAAAAAATAGGGGTCTTCGTTTTACAGACACCCCCTGCCGTAGATGTGCAGGGCCTTATCGACAAGGGAAAAAAAAATCAAAAAAGCGACCTGTAAATCAAGTTAGGGGGAGTGGAATGTTAACAATTTTTAGAGTGAAAGAATTCACTTAAATGCTCACTGAGTTGTTCTGAAGAACAATCAGATGGGAGAAAAGTGTAAGGTTACCACTCAATTTTTTAGAGAGCTTTTTGGTCCGCATTGCTTCAGCATTCTGCCAACGCTTCTTCTGGCTGATAATTTCATGGGTCATCCATTTGCATTCAGGATGAATGATAGAAACATTTCTAGATACACAAGGAGCATTAAAGATGTATTGTCCCTTGCTAATGTAAAAAAATAATAAAAAATAAATTTGCCCATTCTGCAATAACATACAAATTATACTAACTTGTGCATAGAAATTATTGAATTTAAAAATGTGTACCCTGATTTTTAAACCAGAAAAATATGATAAAAGTAATAAAACACTTCCAGTGACTGGAAGTGTTTCTATCATTTTTTGCTGTAAACTGATGGGTAGACATTTTTTAAATACACTAATTGCTATGTTCAAGTTGATAACTTTTATGTTACTTCAAAAATGGGCAAGTTAATTTCAAAAAATATTTTTATGATTTTTTTGTATTTAGCATGGGACAATACATTTTTAAAGATATCAGTGTAGCAAAACCAAACATTTGGCTTCTTGGGCTGCAGGGACATGATGTTGGCCTCAAATTGTCCTATAAATAAATTTGCAAAAGATGGAGATATTTTTTAGGCCCATCGCTGTGCTATGATATTGGAGATAATGACCATCACCAAATACAAAATTATTATTGGTCAAAAATCAGGAAAATAAGTTCACGTGGTAGATGGTAATTTGAGATACACCCATTAACACTTTCTTCATGAGGGGAATTAGTATATAATGAAGAAACATCAAGTGAACAGTATTATCAGGTTAATTTGAAATTTAGTTAATTTTATGGATAAAGTCTGTGGAGTCCTGAATGTACGAGAAGAGCAACAACAATGGGTCTTAATAAATCATCCACATACAGTATTCAGAGATCTTTTTCAGTAGCAGCATCGTTGCCCAAAATGATGGGTCTGCCAGGATGGTCAGCTTCCTACAGCTTTGCATATACAGTATATATTTTATACAATGAATAAATAAATCTTGAATTTATGCATCTGTTATTAGTGGAGGAAAATATTTTTCTAATCTATTTTGAATCACAGTAAAGTATACAAAGTAAGCAATTAAATTTCATGTTTATTTTTTTATAGCTTAACAAAAGATAGTACAATATAGTTTATGATACACTATGGTACAGATCTCAATATTTTAATTATAGAGTATATAAAATACCTGTTGACAAGTGGAATTACTGGCGCACAGATTAACGATGCGATGTAAAGTATTAGAACAAAAGACTGCTGTTACCTTTCAGTAGAACAAACACAGCTATTAAAATCTAAGGAATGGTTTTTAATTTATTTTCCAAAATACAATTACATAAAATTGAAAAACGTTAAGTTGTTACAAAACATTTAAAAAACACTGATTATGATTACCCGTAACTAATGATTAGCCATATATTTGTTATTTATTTATTTTAGTACTACATAGTGCCTATTCCATTAGGTTACAAAGCTCTTTGTTGTCCCTGGTCATTAGGTCTACATGCTAAAATGTTGCTGCTATATTGGCGCAGTAGCAGGCAACCCCACAAGGCACCCATTTATACCCCTGGGTGTAGAGAAGTAATGTAGATAAAGTGCCTTGCTCAAGGACACAAGCAAAATGCACAGCGAGGAATTAAAACCCCAACAACGAGGTTGGGAAACCAAACCGTTACTGCTGCGCCAAACTGCTTCCACAAAATTTACTGATTATGACTACTAAGGGGACACCAAAACCTTAAGTCCAAATTAATCTGTATGTGAATAAAAATCTTCAGTATTAGTTGGCCCAGTTTCAATGAATTTGAGGTTTGTTTGTGGCCTCATTTTGACAGGCATCCTATTCCTCTTACTGGCGCCCCCAAGTTGTAAAAAATTAATTTAAAAAAAGAGAACTCTACTAGAAAATTCTTCTGCAGCACAGGCATCTGAAACCTTGCAGTGACAAACTTATTAGTCTTTTGCAAGATGTAAACACGTAAACGTAAAATTTATATCGAGATCCTTGAAGAGTTTTATAAATTATGCATCCTGATCTCACAGAAACTAGTGTTACTGATGTTCCTTAAATATATTTTTATCAAGTATTTTAAGCATAACTCTTATCCCCTCCAGTGCCAAACAAGAGTACCCCTACTTCACCTCCTTCATTAAATACTATCCTGCGGCTTTCTTTGTTCGGCGTTTGGCCTCAGTCTGGAATGTTGGAGCGTATTTCCATATAAATATCAAAATAGTCCTTTAACCCCTCAATCCTCATCCGAGCTCCAAGTATCTGCAATATTTTTCTGTCCTTTCTTACCATCCTCCTAGAAAACCAATATTGAATCAAATTATAATCAATCAGTTTCATAGAAAATAAGATATTTAGATATTAATAATATGGTTACTAAAACTTTTACTATATTTACTATTAAAACATTTTAAACAATAATTTACCATAGTGGGTTGTAGTTCCCGGTCAATTTCTGGTTCCCAAATTAAGATGTTGCTGTCGTTGCCAGCACTATACAGCTCCTGTTCCAAAAATATTTAGAAAAATTTAGCATCACATTAACCATTACATTAAGCACACAACCATCTGAATTGAATTAATTTAAATAAATCTGAAGCATCACTGAAGTACAGATTAGCAGTAACCTCAAAAAATTAATAAAAGTGTGTTTTTTTATCCATCATTTTATTTGATTTGACTTATTTTGAAATATCCATAAATAGTACAAAAACAAAAATAGGCAAGAAAGTTTGCCTTACAAAACACACAGACATGAGAAACACTAAAAAAAAAATAAACTGGATATAACAAGGATAACACAAGAAGCTTTAAAAACAATTTATTAACAAACTTATTTCCATTGTCTTATGTATGCATCCTGCCAACAATGGTCTGTATGCGCATCACATGTCTCCCCTTCCACCATTCATTGATTAAACACATACTTAGTTCCCTGGGGTTAGGATTTCTATAACATTGCAGCAAGTAACTAGCGCATGGCTGGTGGGTGGAGAAAGACATCTAAAGATAAAGTGTCTTGCCTTGCAAAGGACACACCAACCACCCACCACTATCATCATCATTGATTTCTTTCTTTTTAATCACCTCAACAGTGTGTTTATGTTATTTTATTTATTTATTTTATGTTATTTTATTTATTTATTTTATGTTATTTTATTTATTTATTTTATGTTATTTTATTTATTTATTTTATGTTATTTTATTTATTTATTTTATGTTATTTTATTTATTTATTTTATGTTATTTTATTTATTTATTTTATGTTATTTTATTTATTTATTTTATGTTATTTTATTTATTTATTTTATGTTATTTTATTTATTTATTTTATGTTATTTTATTTATTTATTTTATGTTATTTTATTTATTTATTTTATGTTATTTTATTTATTTATTTTATGTTATTTTATTTATTTATTTTATGTTATTTTATTTATTTATTTTATGTTATTTTATTTATTTATTTTATGTTATTTTATTTATTTATTTTATGTTATTTTATTTATTTATTTTATGTTATTTTATTTATTTATTTTATGTTATTTTATTTATTTATTTTATTTTATTTAATTTATTAAATTTATTAATTTATTATTAATTAATTAATTAATTAATTAATTAATTAATTAATTTATTTATTTATTTATTAATTAATTAATTAATTAATTAATTAATTAATTATCCCAGCCAACAGCAAACATAAAATTCGCCACTTACAGGAGGGAACACAAACATCGAATGGATACATAAATATAGTAAACAAAAAGTAATAATGATATAATAATAATAATAATAACAATGTGATAATAATATCAGATTAAGTGGCCTAATATGTAAAATATTTCTAACACTGTTACTGAACATAGAGAAATTATCACTAAAAATATCAATATCAGGATTCCTTAAACCAAGAGAATTATAAGCTAAGCTTAATCTACTAATAAAACCATTTTTAAGCATGTTAAGTCTACTAAAGGGAATATGAAAAGTTGGATTATTTCTAAGACGCTGACTGGGGACTCTAAGACTAAAATTACTTAACAAATCGCAATCGAAAAAGGAATTAACACATTTATATAAAAAAACAAGATCAAAATACTGCCTACGGGACTCCGGAGATTGAATGTAAGGAATGTTGTGGTTATGGTTGTGGCTGATGTAGCGCAAGAAGCGATTATGTAATCGATGAATACGATGAATTTTAGCTTTATTTGGTGCTCTAAACATGTGGCAATGTATTTTTATTATCATTGTAATAATGTCTTTTGTGATACACAACATATCTGCAGCACAAACCTGGAATAATGGATGGAAAGTACAGGCGTTGACTCTGCTATAATGCCCAGTAAGATTCACTACCGGCCTGCCAGAGTGGATTTCAAACACACATATATCACTCAACGATGGCACAAATACCAAATCATCTGAAGCATCACTAGATACACAAAGCTTTAAGTTCCTTCTTGTATTATTCAAAATTTTGCCGTAGTTTATCTGAAAATGAATCAATTTCATCACAAAATAATAACAATAACAACAAGAGCACTTAGTAGAGAGCATATCTCTGCCCACCGCAAATCCCTTTCTATAAAATAAACCTCCCAAAAAAAAAAGTTCCTAACTTACTTCAACCACTACCACCCCAACTCATTTCGCTCCACTTCTCTTCAAAAACGCACAATAAATTGCCAATCTCTTTCTATAAAATAATTCCTCAAAAATATGTTCCCACATTCCTACCACCAACCACAATCTACTTTAAAAACATACACTAACAAAAGTTAGAGCTCATAAACAATCTTCCCAATCTCTTACTTTAAAAAAGTTACACTAACACGAAAGTTTCACTTAGATGAGTTAATTAGTTTTTGAGATATCTGATCTGCGATGTTTTGCTTTGAAGGGTGCATATCTATAGGCACAAAAATATAATCACTTCATTTTTCGAACGCCTTCCATTGTATCAGTTGTACACCTCAGTTGTACACATGCCAATTCCTTACATGTTCTGATTTAACATACTAGCACATTTTACCCTTTATAGCTGACAAACAAAATGCATGCATGATATTTTGTACACAAGAAAAACTGAAACAGCAAAGCGTTACACACACACACACACACACACACACACACACCCAAACACACGAAACGGAAACACATATCTCCTGGCGGAATAATAAAAATATTAATACTGTAATAATAATAATAATAATAATACTAACAATAATAATAATACTAATAGTAATGTGTTGTGCACTGGTATCCATCCATAAAGATGCTCACATTGACACAATAGTACACTTAATAGTTAAAATTAATTTGTTTATAATTAATAATACTAATACTAATAATAATACTAATAGTAATAATAATAATAATAATAATTATATACTAATAATAATAATAATAATAATTATATACTAATAATAATAATAACAATAATAATGAAAATGTGTTGTGCACTGGTATCCATCCATAAAGATGCTCACATTGACACAATAGTGCACTTAATAGTTAAAATTAATTTGTTTATAATTAATTTAATAAATAATTCAATTAAGATAAAAAAGCCTGCTTTCAACCTGTTACTGTTTAATTAGTCATATATCATTCCCTTAACTAAGCGACTTATACTCAGCCAAAAATGAAACAACTTAAGTTTCATGTATACCATTACTTAAGAACGCTACTTACCAATGTGTTTCTACCTGTCATTACATCCCATAATCTTAATCGGTCGTCTGTGCCGCAGCTGAGCAGGTTTAATCCATCGCTTGTAAAGCACAGGCCTGTCACATGACCATTGTGTGCAGTGCTTACTGCAAAGTATTGAAAACAAAATTCTCATAAAATTTGTATCTTGGAATTTGTATACCTGCTAACAAACGACCTAACTTTAGGGGCTTCAAAGTGCTGGAGAACGGGGCAGTGCAAATGATTCTTCTGCCACTTATGCCGTTTTTCGTTATTAGTTTTCTTTGTAGTATCAGGATATTTCATGGTTATGTTTCTTTTTATTTATGTAAAGCGCACAGGAGCAACTTTCTTGTATTATGTGCTCTATAAGACTTTATTATTATTATTATTATTATTATTATTATTATTATTATTATTATTATTATAATCTAGGCTTCTTCTGTAGTAATCAACTCAAGACTCAAGATTTATTAAGTCATTGGTTTTTGTTGTAAATATTTTCTTTTTGCTTTGTAATGCAAGAGGTCATCTTCAAATTAGCTTGCTTGATGAGCAATCATCTTAACAATTTCATTGAGTAAATGATAATAAACTACATGATGATATATTATGCAGGTACAGTATCTGCATCTAGATCTGTTTTTTTATCTGCATAAACGCCTGGTGTTGCTATCCCGTGCAGTGTGAAGATAATGTCATTCAGTGCACAAACGCCTGGTGTTGCTATCCTGTGCAGTGTGCAGGCAAATGTCATTCAGATTCAAATGTTTATTCAAATTCTGTCTGTACCTGCTGCAGTGCTTGCTGCTCCTTTTTCTCCATTGTGCTGATCCAAAACCATCAAACTGCCCTTTGACCTGCGGATGTCCCAAAGCATCACACGGTTGTCTTGACTGCAAGAAAAAAGAAATTCTAAACAATCACAGTCAGAATTAAAAAAAAATTACAATTAAAAAGGATGGACCCAGAGAAAAATCTCAGTAGGGACAATGTGACGTGGGAAGTACCAAGCATATCATTCTTCAGTAGGTTACATAGCATTGATACTTAGATGCTGCTTGGTTTACTGCCCTTACGTTGCTGGGTTACATATCTCTTTGCGGCTCTGTTCACACAGTTAACAGGAACCAGACTACAAACATACGCACTCACCCGCTCGTGCGTTCATACAAGAAAATCCCCGATCCAGATACCAAGAAGATGATGATCGGATCACTGGCCAATAGAAAACTGCAAATTGGAATGCGTATGTGTGATTGATTAACGATAGAAACGGGCACAACTTGCCAACCGATGATGCTTGCTAACCATTAGCGTATCCAGATCCCGGTAACGGCGTTAACCAATTAGGCGTTTACACACGGGTGCTAACGGTTAGCTCCCAATCCGGGTATTATGATGCTGCTCAATTCAAAGAGCTTAAATGACGTTGCTAGGTTACATATTTCTTTACTGCACATTATTGTTGTTTAGTAGGTTACATAGTATTGCTACCTGGATAGTGCTCGGTTTAAAGAGCTTACCTGGACATTGCTAGGTTACATATCTCTTTACGCATTATTGTTGTTTTGTAGGTTACATAACTTACCTGGATGTGGCTAGTTGGAATTCGTCTTTATTTGACCACTTAACAGCCATTACTGGACCCTTGTGACCTTTGAGTGTGTGTGTTGATGACCCATTACGAAGATCACATAATGTCACCAATGAAGATGCTGTTCCAACTTCAGTACAGACATGAACAAGCAAAGAAAAAAACAAAATATGATTGAGTGACGAACTTGCTTTTGAAATGAAAGAGTAATTTTACTGTGTAAAACAAATAAACATATATTCATAATAATAAGGAATGATTAGAAGAATAATGAACTTGTAAAGAACATTATGCCAACGATTGTTATAATTACTAATTATTGAAAGGTCAATAGACCGAACTGAGTCACCAGAGATGACGTCATCGTGATTTCACCGAGTGGGTATGAATTTGTAAACATTGGCCAAAGTGCTATGCTAATGCACTGAGTGGAGTCAAAAGTGGTAAATCGTCTAAAATGAATACATTTTGAATGATTCATAGATTCATGAAACAAAGGTTGATTTAAAGTAAATTTCCATTCAGACTAAAAATATGAAGAGTTATATGAAGAAATATGACTCAAAAGTTTGACATTTATTACAGAAATATTTACCAAGGCTTTGTGATAAGTTATTTTACGATAAAATGTACAAACAAATAAGTTTATGGAGTTCAAAAACTGTCAAACTTTACTCGAGCAGAGGATTATTATTATGTGAAAAAACTGCCACCTAGCAGTTTGTTTTGATGTTATACCCACTATAACAGCTTTGGTTTGGTGACTAATGAAAAATAATGTTGCTTATATAAATTTGGCCTATGATAAGGGTCTAATAATAAGTTATATAATAAGAAAAATAAAATATAATAATAAAATATAAATGGCAATGGTGAGTACAGTTCATGATGAAAACACAATGAAGAAAAATATTAAAAACATACCACATATAAGGCAGTGTTTCATGGCAATAGACGACATGTTGTGGCAGTAGATTGGTTTTTCAAAGGTGAATTTCTCAGCAGGTACGAGAGCATTGGTATCCCATACCTTCAAGGTGTTATCCATCGCACTTGAGGTAAACATACCGGTATCATGTGGATACCACTGCACGGTTTCAACGCTGTACTTGTGCGCATGTTTATTTGATCTGAGAAGTAAATGTGGCAAAAAATTATTAATAAAATAATATATAACAAACTATTAAATTTTATGCGACAAATAAAAGTGATATGTCCATATTTGGTTGTAATATGACATCATCATGCCCATATATGGGCACATCATACAAACTTGTTGCATAAAACTTGGTAGTGTGCACAAGGCAATACATTATATTTCAACCATTATAGTTCATAGTTACATTCATTTTGAATATATTTAAATCAGGAGATAAATATGCTAAATGATATACCTGCTTATGGAACAGACTGAGGAGCATGTGAAGTTTGAGGGCGCTGGTCTACATTCAATATCATATATTACTATACCACTGTCAGCTCCACCAGATAACAAACTGAAAATATACAATCAATTAATAAAACAATCCGTCACTCACTAAACTCAGTCAACAAGAAATCAATATTGGTAAGTAAACACATACACAAACACACAACAAAAAACAAAACAAAACAAAACAAAAATTTAAAAAAATTATAATTTGAAATGGTAATCATTAATCATTGGTTCCAGAAAATATAAAATTGTAATTGTGTGATGTCATTTTGTTGATTGATAAAGTATTTTAAAAGTACATTGAGTTTGACTTTAAAGTTCACAAGTAGGTAACTTACTATTTCCCTTCAGAAGGGTCAATATCTAAGCAGTTGACAGCACCTGAGTGTATACGTTGTACGTCTCTGGTTTTGCTTAGCTCCAGGCTGTAAATCCGTCTCGTTATTTCTGCTCTCATCAACTCCAAACTAGAGAGAATTCCTCTTTCCTGATAACTCAGGAACTTTAACATTCTTAAGCTATGGATGGCAACACAGCCTCATGATCTTTGGTCTGCTAGATGATAATTATATTAAAGTCATGATGAAGCAATAATATAATAATGTTAAGTTGTACTGCTTGGCCTGGAATCTACAAATAGTAGTTAGCTGATGAATGTCTCTTTTTTAGAAAATAGTTTAATTATTTATTAAGGTTTTAACTTTTAATTACAGAGAAACACTTTGTGGTTTTTAGCTACTTTTAAACATTTTTTACAGTTTTTCCATTTTATGAATTTAAACAGTTTTAACCACAACATGTTTCGATAGTTCAACCAACATTATCAAGTGAGAGTAACTACTGCTAAACACTAAGCTTATATATACCTAAAAAGTAATGAATCTTAAGTTGATAATCAAGGAGGCCTTTTACATTTGGTTGGGAACAACCACTTAAACAAGCAGCTGACACATTTCAATATTGATTTAACACTTTAGTTGCCTCATTCATTCTGTCTTCCCATATTGGTCTAAACTGCATCAACTTATTCTTTCATTACGCCTTAGCTACTGTAAGCTTAGTATATACAGTAGTCACTTTCAATTAATAATGATGGTTGAACCATCAAAACATGTTGTGGACTTTTTTATATATATGAAATACATTGCTGCATTTGTACTATTTTTCCATTTTATTTTTATTTCTATGTTTTTATTATGTAGGCCTACCGATCTTGATTTCTTTTGTTTTAGTGAATTATTGCATTGGCATTGTACTGTATTTTTATTTATATATTATTACATTTTTTATACTCATATTCTGCCAAGCAATACAATTTTCTGTATTTTTATATTTACCAATAATAATATAAATACAATCTTCAACCTTGAATAGTGTAGTTAATATGACATGATTTTCTTCTGCGATAGCCAGTAACCGAATAAATTAAAAAAGCCTGAATCAAACCTAAAGTAGACCTAGGCCTAGGCTAGACTCTCATTCCTCCTAGTCTAGTGACAACACACCCAAGTGCTACACCTGGCTGAAGCAAAATGCCTACTATGCCTAGCTAGGCTAGATAGGCCATAACGGTTATGATAACCCCGCTAAAGTTACGACTGTGCCTCTGTTATTAAAGAGAAGCAATAAAGTTACTTACTTACTTAGAAGAAAGCAATGAATACTCTCTTCAGTACACTGTCTAGAGAAGGAGCTAAGCTAGGCTTATTTAGTTAGAGGCCCTATTTTTACTTACTATAAATAATTGATACTTTGTAGTTTTCATTTTCGCATATCCACCGGAGGAAAGACGACAGGCGATTACGCAACAAAAACACCAGCCGCATTACATTTTTCTCATACTTACTGTGTGACGGCAGTGGTGTAGACTACGTTAATACCTCCATGGTAGGACTGAGGGCGGAATCATCAGTTTGTAAAAAAAAAGTAAATAAAACACAGAGAAAAAAAAAACATTCATATAGAACATGGAAAACTATGAAAAACTAAGAATTGTTGGCCGCGGAGCCTTTGGGTAAGTATTATATATGATGTGTTTTTATATCTCGGTACATCTATTTCAGTTTCAGAGCAAATTTTTGTAATTTTAAGGAGGATTATTTAAGCTAGTCTAGGCCTAGCCCAGACTAAGCCTCTAGTGTAGTGGTGTAGGTATCCTAGCCAAGGCTTAGGCCTACTACTACTGTAGCCCAGTAGTACTAGCAAATTGGGTGGGTAGCGCCTGTAGTAGCAGACCTAAGACTATTCCTGGCTAGGCCTAGCC